ACTCTGTTATATCTCATTTACTGTTTTAAATTTAAATTTCTTGCAGCACTTCCTCCCTGGAAATAACTGCACCAGCATAGCCAACAACACAGAGTGGGAAAGTTTGAAACTCCAAACGCTGCCTGTGAGTAAATAAATGCTTCACTGCGCCTTTATTACATGTTAAATAATGTACTTTATCATTTCTTTGGGGCAGTATGATAGTTTGTTAGATTTCTTAATAACATTGTTGTTGTTATTTATAGATCTATGTGACTTGTTTTTTTGTCTCTGCACAGACTTGAACGTTGCTAAAATACTTGACATTTAGCTCCTACATTTCTGAAAGATATTTGGCCAAGAGAGCTACATAGCTGCTTGAACATTTCACTCGAAGTATTCCAAGTCACGCCTAACCTGTTGTACTCACATATTTCTCCTGCTACCTCCCTCTGTCCAAACATGCAGTATTACCTGTACTGCTGCCTGCTGGCCATGCTTGGAGTGATTGTGTTCACCAGGACATGCATGTCTGTGAAAACACTGCTGCTCACGCTGGCTGTCGTGGTTTACCTCGCCCTCTTCCTCTATGTTTTCGAGTCAAGATCAACCTGCCTCATCGAACTGTTTTATAATGGTTCCAAGTGAGTACATTTCACTTCTCCACATATGGAAAAAGCCAACACTGATAAACAAGCAAAGCACTCGCCTCATTCTCCACATTACCCAGAGCAATGGTTAAAATAACTTTGCAAGGTTCAAGTCCCCCAATATCTCATGTTTGTAGCAGATTTTAATAAATAGATTTCAAAAGACACTATGGCATCAGTTGATACCATAGTGTCTAAATGAAAATGAAAAAAAGTCATAAAAATAAATACGTTTAAAAAAATAAAGAACTGTAAAAACTATCAATATTAATAATAATAATAATAATAATGAAATGTAAAAACAAATAAATAAAATAAAATGATAAAATTTAATTATAAAATAAAATAAATAAATCTCGAATGAGTTTGAATCTTAACCTCAAGGTCAATCTCAGGTTTTCAGAAAATGCTGTGAACACGATGACTGGGAAGGAACGATTTTCAAATAACAGGACACGAGGGGTGGTGGTTAGTATGTTTAAATGTTGGCAACCAAATTTAAGCTGTAAATGTGATTTTAAAGACAGAACTTTTCCTCTTATGTTAAACTTTTCATGATAAATAAAGCTGCAACTAATATCTACATGTGTTTTCATCAGTCTTTTTCAGGCTTTTTGTGTTAATAAAAAGCCAAAAATGAAAGACAAGTGTAACTGTATTTTACTAACACCCCCCAGCCCCACCACCACCACCCTCCCCTCCCCAATAAGAATAGTCTAAGCAGAGAAGCCCAGACCTCCCTCAACCCCCAGGCTGCCTCCTCTAGTCTCAGTTTATCTAGTGTGACACCCTGGTGTTCCCAAGCTGGCTGACAGATGTAATCTACAAACAAAACACTTCATCTAGGAAGTATCCCAGTCAAATACCTGAACCACCTCAACCGCCTCCTTTTATGTGGAGTATTGGGTCTACTCTGAGCCCCTGAGCTCCTAACTCTGAGGCTACGTCCACACTCGCCCGGATAGATTTGAAAATCCACACTAGCGTTTTCAGTCATTTTCACAGAGTTGTGCATCCACATTGAAACGGCTGAAAAGGCTTACATTCCAGTACAGCGCATGCGCAAAAGCGAGTGAGGATTAAAGAATTTGAAAAGCTATCCAGAGCATGTGCAAACTGATCTTAATCTTTTTTAGGGCTGTCAAAATTGAGAGCAATCAAAACAACTGATGTATAATGCCCTCCGCTATTGTTGCTTAATTGGTCACATGACGGCATCACATGACTAAAATGCGTCATCGTTTTAGAAAGTCTCCATTTTTGAGTGTCCACACTGCGACGGGACAGCTCCATTTTCCAATGTATGTGTTTTTGTGAGCGTTTTCGAAATGCTCAATGTCAATGTGGACGGGAGGCCAAAACTGAGAGAAAACGATGCGTTTTTCAAATGAAAACCCATTAGTGTGGACGTAGCCTAAGTCCTCCACCCTTTTCCAGTTGAGAAGCATGACCTTTTTGAAAAAAAAAAAGGTAAACACATCACCAGGATAAGCCTTTGATTTTGGTTTATAATTGATCGGACACAAATCAGCCGCTCCACTTTAGAAGTGTGCTGTTAATCTTTAATTGGGGGGGTCTTAATTATCCACTTCAGCTTTAAGCTATTTGTTTTAGAACAGCACTGAATGTGGACGAGCCTCCACAGGAAGTAAAAGTGTGCAGGGAGAGGGTGTAGGAGATGAGGTGGATCTGGGCCATGGTGTGCTTTGCCAAGCCAAAGTGTTGGATTTCCTACTCTTTGTCTACCTCTGAGAGTCCAGATTGTGAATCCTGGTCTGGAGTTTCACATCAGCATTACTTATTCATCGGCTTTCTATAGACTGAGGCGCGCCTGGGGGCGCCGGCCGCATCGGCTGTGTGTGATACAAGACACTGGTCTTTGAACATATATGTAATGGAAACATGTTAGAAGCCTGCACGGTTCTACATATAATAACATGCATGGGATTTTCCACAGGCCCGGAGTCCTGAAGGACCCTCAAATCATGTCTGGGATTTGGCTGTCCATCTTTTACATTGTATGCATCATACTGGCCAGACAGGTGAGTGTGTGTGTTTGTGTGTCCGTGTGCAAGAAGTTCTTTAACAAAGGAAATGCCGTGCATGTCACATCCGGGTTTAAACCAATGCTTCTTCGCTTCTCTCTCAGGACGAGCTGAGCTGCCGTGTAGATTTCCTGCTGGAGCGCTGTTTCAAGACAGAGAGAGATGAGATGGAGACCATGGAGAACGTCAACAAGCTCCTCCTGCAGAACGTCTTGCCACTTCACGTCGCCTCTTTCTTCGTGGGCAAAAACATCAATAACCAGGTAAGTAAGACATTCCCAAGGTGCACAGCTTCTGTCCTTTATCTGTTCAATACAGATCCAGTTGGAAACAAGCCTGATATTCATATTTATCTTCCACTGTGTGACATTCCGAGGAATGTAATGAGGAAATATGAAAGTGGGCGTGTAAGGATCATTTGCAGCACCACATTTTTGTCCTTGGAGCTTTGCATGATTCACAGTTCAAAATAATTCGTATTTATCAAGAACTGCTTGATTGAGGCAAAAATCAGTTATCCTGTTTGATTATTTGGCACAATTGAACATAGATTTAAGGAATATTTTTAACAAACCGGCACGGTGGTACAGTGGTTAGTGATTTAGCCACACAGGAAGAAGGTCCTGGGTTTAAATCCACCATCTGGTCTTTCTATGTGTGGAGCTTGCATGTTCTTCCCGTGTCTATGTGGATTCTCTCTGGGTTCCTGCTACAGTGTAAAGCATGCAGGTAGTGGGCTGAGGTGGTTCCGAAAGCAGCCATTGGTGTGAATGGTTGTCCATCTCTCTGTGTTAGCTCTGTGACAGGTTGGTGTACCCTTCCTCTCACCCTGTGGCAGCTTGGATAGGCTTTGGCCACCCACCTGCAGCCCTAAGTTGGATAAATGACAGAAGATGGATGGATTGATGGGGGAAAAAAACTTTATTTGAAAGCCAAAAAGAGAATAAATGTGATCTGAACCGAATTTCATCTGGATGTGTTGACAAAATAAGAATCCTGGAGTCACTGGAAGGTTTAAATCTAGTCGGTTGCGCACCCCTATATTTGTCTTTTATCGGGCTTTGGTGCAGCTCCTCAGTTCATCCTCTATCAAAGACAAGCTGCTTTATCTCTGCCTTTAAGCCAGTTTTCTTCTGATTGGCTGTCCCCTGCAAACAGAAGGTTTGCGAACGATAGGTGGGTGGGGCATTCTTGGCTGAGATGGCCATATTACAGATGTCCACTCTGTTTGACATCATACAGTGAAAGAGTAGACGACAATCTCAAAAACAGTGCTTAGAGTGGTTTTAATTCTCATGGCCTTTACTTGTACATACTCTGACCTTGTGTGAATTATTGGTTAACAGCACATATTTGACAGGAAATAAAGGGAAAAAAGTTTCTGCTTCATATATTTTTCTTACTATTTGTACCACCTCAATCATTCAGTCAGCCATATTTGAGAGTAGTTAGTCTGAAAACACTGTGGAGGGAAAGAAATCAATGATTTTTGGATGTTGAGTGAGTTGAGTGTTGGCACCAACATGTTAGTTTCGAGTTATGAAACCTTTTTGGAGTTTCACGTGCAAAAAGCAGCAGAACAGGTTTGACTTTTGAAGGCTCCTGCATGCAAATTGGATGAAAATAGGCTTATGCTGAAATTATCTTTTTAATCATAATTTAATTTTACATCCTTTCAGGACCTGTACAGTCAGTCATATGACTGCGTGTGCGTGTTGTTTGCATCGGTGCCTCAGTTCAAGGAGTTTTACAACGAGACGAGCGAAAACAACGACGGCCTGGAGTGTTTGCGATTCCTCAACGAAATCATATCAGACTTCGATGAGGTATGAGGAAGCTGACGGTGTGAAGTCCTGCTGCTGTCAGCACCAGCCTGCTGGAACATTTTGTCTTTTCTGCCTCTTTCTCACTCTCTCTTCCTCTTTGTGTCTCTTTCACGCAGCTTCTTTCAAAGCCCAAGTTCTCCTCGGTGGAGAAGATTAAGACCATTGGCAGCACCTACATGGCCGCTGCAGGGCTGACACAGTTGGCTCCAGGGGATGAAAGAAAGGTTTGTGACCCTGAAGTCACAGCTTTAGGTTATCACCGTGCTGCAGGTCATTACCTGCAGGTTGCACACAGAATGACTGACATACTCAGGAAAAGAATTTGGATTTGCAAATCCAGGCTTGCAAAGCTGTCTTCTGGTCTACTTTTAAAGTGTAAACAAACTGCACACACACCCTCTGACTGAATACTGTGATCTCTGGCTCCCCCTACAGAAATGTGACATGTCCTACAGCCACGTGCGCTCCATGGTGGAGTTCGCCATCGCTTTGATGGCCAAACTAGAAAACATCAACAAACACTCTTTTAACAGCTTTAAATTGAGGATTGGTGAGTCTCTGCAGAAGAATAATGCAGATGTTACAGATTATTTATAGTCTGGTTATTTATTGTTATTTTCAGAGTCGAATCAGAAGTTGCATGATGTCTGTTTATTTTTCATTTTTATAAACAGCTAAATGATTTAAAGAAAGACAACAAGGGTGCATGGATGGTGCTGATCTGACCTCCTCAGACAGTCTTGATAACCCTGAAATAACTTCTGTCTGCTGTTCACCTTCAGGGATCAACCACGGCCCAGTGATTGCAGGAGTCATCGGAGCCCATAAACCTCAGTATGATATTTGGGGGAACTCTGTTAACGTGGCCAGCAGGATGGAGAGTACAGGAGTACTGGACAAGATCCAGGTCAGTTTTGTTTTTTGGAATATATCCTGAGTCTGTTTCTCTCACCAGTGTTTGATGGATTTGGTGTAACAAGCCTATAATATGATAATAAAATATTGTATGGTGGTTTATTGATGTTTGTAAAGGCATTAATGCATTATTAAAGGACGCCAGTCTGATGAAAGTTTCAATATTGTTCAGTAAGATAAGATAAACTTTATTTACTGACTCTCAAAGGTTAGGAAAGTCGTTTACAGCAGCTACAAATCAAACACGACCTAAAATAGCTTATAGAAGAAGAACAAAATATATAGCTCAATAAAATAACATAAGGACACAATATGACAAAACAAATATTTCAAGGTAAAATTAAGTCTATCTATTAGATAGAAAGAAAATCTAATAAAATTTTAATGGAGACTATTTTTGTTGTGTGTTTTTTAGGGGTATTTTTAGTTTTCTGGTAAGAATGCCACACAACAACACTGCAATACATGTAAGAAATCAATGGTTTTCTAGGCCTGCAACTTCTTCCTTTGTCCAGTTTCCTCAGTATTTTAAGGACATCCCGCTCATCAGGTTGAGATATGCCAAGTTTTCAGCTAATCGCTCCCTGTGAATCACCTTGTTGGTCCAAAAACACTATTTCATGTACGTCAAGCTGCCATGTGCTGGTTGTGTGAAGCAGACAAGAGAGGACTCAAGCGCAGACTCATAGAGGCAAATAATACATTTTTTAAGTTAATAATAATGTATTGCAGAACATCAGACAATGCAAAACTAACTAAAACTGGAATGTACAAGTAACTAAACAGGCAGGTAGGCAAAACACACAGCAGGGAATGAAGGAGACGCAACACTGGACAGAGGGAGACAGAGGCTTAAATACACAGTACAACGATGAGGGAACAGAAAACACATGGGAACACAGCTGAGACAAATTAGACATGACGAGACCAGGGAAGCTAAACTAAGCACACTGAACATGGAACATAAGACCTTCACAATAAAACAGGAAATGAAGGAATGCAAAACTGACACACGAGTTTGACAGAGGAGTGGAGGAACGGCAGACGAAGGGGGGACATGACGGGCTGGGGGAAACGTAGAGTGGAACTCCAGAAAAACAAGACACGAGAGGGAATGGTTCTCGTTACAATAAGGTCTTGACATCTACTCCCCTCCTCATTGGTCGCTTTTCTGTTGCCTCAGGTGTGGTAGCTTAAAGGTGCCTGGAGAGACATATAACCTAACTCTTTTTATTGTCATTTTCTGGCTCGCAGGTGACCGAGGAGACGTCCCAGATGGTCCAGACTGTGGGATACGGCGTCACTCTCAGAGGAAAAGTGAATGTGAAGGGGAAGGGGGAGCTCACCACCTACTTTGTTAACACAGATCACACGTCTCCTGATTTCTGATCAAGCCTTCACTGCAGGCCATGGCCCAGACACAAGCTGCTGGTGCTTGTTGTTTGTCTGTAGCAGTCAAGCTCACACTTGCATGACTCATTCTGGGGTTTTCTTTTTTTCTTTTTCCACACGGAGAAACACAATCAGTGTGAAGGACTTAAAATAAAACACCACTGTATGTTCAGCCAGGCCGGCAGTCATTATAGACACCTGCACGGCCTCTGTGTGATGTAACGGCAAAGGTCAACACCCGGCAATCATTCACATTCACCGAAGAGAAGCCACCTCAGACTGGTCAAAGGAAGGCGCACAACTGCAAGCAAGCAACCGAAAGCAGGGAGCTTTCCACGCATGCTGCCTACTGTTTCTGTACTGTATCTGTGTTTCATGTGAAACTGCTGCAGACACTTTTCATTGTGTTATTATGAAAACATTAAATGAAATATGGTTTTTTTGGTACATTGGTTGTGGCTGAATCACACAATACTCGTGTATGAAGTTATAAGGTACCAAAGATCACTGCTGTTATATGAAGGATCTTATAGGATTTACATTTAGAGGATTTTATTTTAGATTATTTATGTTTTTCACTACAGACATTTAGGTTTTAGCTCAGATATCTTTACATTTTTCACTTTTGTTTTTTTTTACTGTATTGCTGCATTTGCTGTCTTCTGATATAATGACTCGTCATTGAAGGAAAAACACTGGCACTGCTCATAACTTTAGCTACACCCGTGAAAAGGGTTTATATGTGCAGCTGGAAACAGGTTTGGTAATATTTTTTGCTTTAACCTGAGGGAATCACAAGCTGTTCCATGGGATAGGAAAGAAAAATATTTGTGTAAAATATATTTATTTTTGTGATTTTTTTTTAGTATTATTGTTATCTCTAACCTGTGGTTTTATTGTGAAATTCTGGGAAAAAAAATGGACTGGCTGGTCATATGTCCTCACTGCTGGAGCCAGAGAGATTTAATAAAACCATATAGCTCTGAAATATGATTTATTTATCAAGTGTGGCCCCATAGCTGTCATTAATTATGCTGTAAAACATCAGAATATCAGTATAATTACGCCATTAAAAAAGAGTCACATGATGCACATTTGGAAATTTTGCACTTTAAAAAGACTTATTTTATGTTTTAAAGGATCCTATTCTGATTGTGCTCAGAATATTTCTTCGTCTTCTTTTTTTGGATGTGTATTTCTGTGTAAGTTGAAGAATTCACTCTATTTATAAGCTAATAAAAATTTAAAAAAAACACACATGTGTCTCTGTGGTGTGTGTGTGTGTGTGTGGAAGCTTCCTACGTGCATCAGTGAGCACTTTAACAAGAACTGTGGAATTTCCCCCTTTGCCTAACATGGTAACGCCCACAAGTGCTCTGATTGGTCTACGCTCCTCCCTCGGTTATGGCTTCTAACTTGCTATTGGCCCCCGCCGGTGTCAGTGAGCCCGCTTCCTGCTTCACAGTATGGTTTGTTATTGCAGCGAAGCTCCTTTAAATGTGAGGGGAAATGTTGACGGTCAGAGCCCATGAAGTTGGTGAGTTTCTGATAGACGCCTACGAAACTAACCGTGTGTCTTTGTCGGTTGAGAAAATGACGGAAAGTTAGCCTTTTGTCATTTCTTTTGACAAACCTTCAGTTTGAACGCCAGTGAGGAAAATTTAAACGTTACCTGCCGCTGCTGCCACTTGGCCCGACAGACAGGTTGTTTCTTTTTTTTTTTTTTAAACCCTCTTTACGTATCTTTTAATTAACTATTCTTCTCAAATTTTTAGAAAAATGAAGGGGTTAATTCGACTGTGAACCAGCCACACTTCTCACACACGTAAGATGTCAGGGGCCCATGAGCAGATCAGGAAGCGCCGCCCCCCCAAAACGTTCTTGATCTCGACCGACATAAAGGTGCGCGACCAGCTGGAAGGTACCATTTCGCTACAGCGGGGGTTCATCTGCCAGGAGCAAGATTTGGATAGAAAAGGGGACAGCCCCTGGGTTAAGGTATTAACATATATTTGCATTCACAGATTTACACAAGATTTGACACATGGAGGAACTTGTTGTGTAGTGCTAGGAGGAGAGTCTGAAAGGTGCTACCATTTGTCAGCGTCAACTTTACTAATACAAGCTGTTTTTATTTCTCTTACTTACTTAGAATGATTAAAATGAATTAACATTGGTGGAGTAATCTTGAGTATTTTGCGATAATATTTCAAAAAGACTTTTAAAGTGGTGTTTTTGTGCAATCTTAGTTAATTATATACATTATGCATCACTTGGGTGGCCCATGTCTTATGTTGCTCCTAACACATTCACTATGTTGCACTTCAGATTCAAGCATCCACCAGCCGCTGCTGAGTTCCTGCTTTTAAAATCGTCAGAGTTAAATTTCCTGTTCTTTTGTTCTTAATTTTTCATTCATACTCCACATCACCATCCCTCCTCTCCTTGTTTCTTTCTCCCACATGTGTTTTTCCTCTTTTCCTGCAGGTGTTGGACAATGACTTCATGGGAAAAATAGACAGGAGAGTCTTAATTGATGTCCCAACTGACCTCACTGGCTTGCTGGAGGCTGTTACAGATCCAGAGGCTCGACTAAAACTTCTAAGTAAGAAGCAAAATACTGCAGATTTTACAGCTGCTTACTTAAAATGTGCTCGAAGCTTGATTTAACTCACTTTCTAAGGAGAGAGAGTTCAGATTTGTGTCTCTTAAGTGCTGCCAGTTACTCATAAGCTGCCCTGTTTTTACTGCACACTGTGCACACTGTAATGGCTGTTTATCGCAGTAATTGTAGAGCACACTGAAGCTTTTCTCTATTATAAGTACATTTATGGCCTGAAATATGACCAAAAACTGTCCCAGAGGATGTTAATCAAATGTAATTAGAAGTTTGTAATCTGCTAATTATTTGTTTGTTTGTTGTATTGTTCTGTGTTTTTCAGACCAGCCTGGGAAGCTGCAGCAGTTGGCTTCTCTGCCGTCTGACTCCCCACTGTGGGTCCAAATAGGTCAGCAGGATGAGCTGGCAGAGGCAGAGCTGAAGTACATCGGGCCCTTGACCAGAGGAAGCAGCGCTGTGTATTTTGGGGTCCAACTCAAGGTTGGCTTAATCATTGGATTGTTTGAATTTTCAAATATTTAAAGTTGCTTTAATCAGCAGTTTGAACTACTTATATGCGTTGCATGGTATAGCTGATACTGTTGAACCTGCTTTGCGGTTTCTCTCACTACCTACAATACCTGTTTGTTACCAAACCTGGGCAAAAAAAGATGGCAGCTAAAGAGCCAGAGTATAAAATCGCTAAAAGAAGAGACTTCCCGGGATCTTTTTTTGACTCATTACCCAGAAGTTTCACACGATCAGTGCTGATATTGCTCTGTGGGTGCTAGCTGTACACCAGTCAGCTACACTGTTAAAACCACCCTCCACAGCAGAATATTTACAGTTATGGTCAGAAGTTTACATCCACTCTTCACTGGAATGAATGTCAGGGTAATTTTGGACTCATAATTATATCTTTCAGTTGTTCTTTTTCCAGGGTGGGATAATTGTACAGCATACATCTTTAATGACTTTTAAAAAAAAAAACAAGAATTGGGTGCACAAGTTTTAAAAAATGCTTGGATTTTCTCTAATATGCACATTGTCAAAAGTATAAATACAGGCTCAAATATATACATACACCCCACTAATATATAGTTAAGGATCGCTTTGCAAGTTGCACCATGACCAGACTCTATTGGCAGCCATCAGCAAGCTTCTGGCATTATTCTGGTTGAATGTTTGGCCACTGTTCTGGCAGAATTGGTAGAGTTTATTTAAACTTGTTGGTTTCCTGGCAAAGGCCCAGCTTTTAAGCGTAGTTCATAGATTTTCATTAGGGTTGAGGTGAGAGATTTGGGAATACCATTCAAGAAGCTCAGTGTGAGCTTCATTCATCCATTCCAGTTTTAATGTGTGTTTGGGAACATTGTCCTGATGACACCCAACTATGTAAACTTTCAACTGTCCAGCTGTTTTGAGGGGAAGTTGAAAAATTTGGAGGGAGTCCTCCTTCATTATTCCATCCACTTAGGACAATGTATCAGTATCACTGGCAGTAAAACAGCCTTAGAGCATGATGCTATCACCACCATGCTTTACAGTTGTTACAGTGTTCTTTGGTTTGCATGTCTGACTATAAAAAAAGTTCCCCATTTCAATCACGCTTGAAGGTGTCAGTTATGGAGCAGGGGCTTCTTTCTTGGTCAGCACCCTCTCAGTGCATTGTTAGGTCAAGCTGTCTTCACTGTGGACAGAAGCACTGGTCATGCAGCAGTTTCCACTCCATGTCAGGCTTGAGCCTTGGTGGCTCCTAAACATCCCGACCAATTTCCTTCCATCAGAGGTTTCTTGTTTTGTTTTTTTGTTTTCCATCTTCTTCCAGACATTGGCAAAATGGTGACACATCTGAAATCCTTGTACTTAAGTACAGGAAGAAATTAAATTAGAAATGAATGTTTTTTTAAACCTATTTGGAAAATATCCACTTTGAATGCTGGTTATACATGTTGTCCATTGACTGTATTTTCCTCACATCAGATTACATAAAATAACCACTGGATCCTCACCTCTGTGTGTGAAATCAAGTAACCCACAGATATTTATAAAAATCCTTCCTAATGTTGTTCAGGTTGCCCCTGTGCTGCCAAACTATCTGCAGACCCTTGGGATGTGAACCTCTGGGAGTGTCCTATACCTTCGGCAGTGTGGTGTTGGCAGCTGATTCTTTGTGTCCTAAAGGTTGTTGTTCGTTCAAGCAATGCTTGATCAGGCTGCGATCTGTCCAGTTTGGACCTTGTTCATCTGACAAACGCTGTCACAGCATGAGGCACCAGGTTGCCAGGTTCTGCAAGACCTTCTTCCCACAGGCAGTCAGGATTGTGTACTCGTTTTAAATACACATAATCATGCACTACAGACACACAATCCTATAATTGTTTGTATACATGAAAACACACAGTCATCCTCCACAATGCTTCCTTTTTAACTGTTGCTTGCTTGTGCAATAGTTCTGTTTGCATAACTTTAGTTTAATATTCATCAGTACAGACATTCACATATGATGACTAACCTTCATTGCTGTTGTGCTGTGTTTTCATATTTGTAAAGCTGTTGAGTCCACTGTGCAGTCCTCATGTCTGCTGCAGTAAAGTTGACTCTGACTTTGACTTGTAGCTAACTAATATGAAATATGACAAAAAGATACAGGTATCAGAAATACAAATAAAAACTAGATGTGTACTCACTAAAATAAAACAATAATACACACGAACGGTCTTCAGATACTTATGTCAACCTGTGTGAGGAGGCTTTGGTGTGACTTTAACTCAAGTGTTTATGTTGTAGTACTTGTTATTAGTTTCTTAAATGTGTTCTAGTGAACATTTCTAAAAAAAACAAAATCAATAAAAGCTAAAATGAACAGGGTGAATCCATGTTGGAGACTAACCAAAGCTACATTTATCTGAAAAGAAACATTTGGAAGTTGATAAAAATAAATAATGTAACTCATTAATTCACACTTTTCCTACAGTTTGCTGTCCTGATGGGGAGGCTGCTGCCATCAGGGAGTGCCATTGCCAACAATAATCAGTGGCTGGCACAATCATCACAATTACTGCATACATAAAGCTCCAAGGTTTGCGAGCATAAAACTGCACCAAAATATCCGGGGAATCAAATCATAGGTTTATATACAAACCACAGATGTAGGAACTGAGTTGCTGTGTCACTTGCAGTGTAACTATGTTAACTGTGTGTGTAATTGTCCTCCAGGGCTCAGCGGCGGGTAGGGGAAAAAGCAACGGCACTTACAAAGGCCAGAGGTTATTCACCTGCCCCGAAGCTTGCGCCCTCTTCGTCCCGGCCAGTCACATCAGGCCCCGCCAGTGGTCCAGCAGCTCAGAGGGACACCAGCGACCCCGCGAGCGAGAACACCACCGCAGCAGCAATGGTCACCATAGCAGCAATGGCCGCCCAAACCATTTTCAGCTGCCGCCCCAGCAGCAGCAGCACCAGCACAGTCGTCACATTAGTTTCCACCAGCATCCACCCAACAGCTCTTCTCAGGTGTCCCCCTTTAGCATCCTTCCACGAACTGCAGACTCGGCACCCATCACAGCTCAAAACCATGTCCGAGGCCCTGCGTCACCCCCGCTGTTTCGCCCTGGTCAGCGTGTGTGTTTCCCCCTGGATGACAAAGTCTGTGCAGGGGAAGTAGTGTTCTGTGGGCCCCTGCCAGGCCGGGCCTCATCAGGAATGTACGTGGGAGCCATCCTGGTCAGTATGACCCATGAGAGAGAGAAGATGTTTGTTTGTTTGTTTGTTTTGTTTTTTGTAGAAAATAGGACATGTTTTAACTGTTAGCAAAAAATATTTTCCCTCGCTTTGACGGTCTTATACAATGTAATGGTGAAGCCGTTCTATTTGCATTTAATGTTTGACTCTGTGTTATGTACATTAGGACACTCCTGATGGTAACTGGGACGGGACTTACAAGGGAGAGAAGCTCTGCCACATTCCTTCAATCCTTTATGGAGCCCTGGTGTCAGTCAACAAGGTTTCCTTAGGTAAAGCAGCTGTTTACACTCAGAAGGTTCAGGCCTCAGTTATTTCAGGTAACTCAACAAATTTAGATTTTAAACTTTAGATTTTAATCACTCTTCTTAACATAAATTGACTTCTATTTATGTTAAATGTATGTAATTTCCTTGTGGCTTTTTCAGCACTGCTTCCATTTTTAGATTCTGTGGCTGAGTCAGAAACACAAACAAAAAACCCTGTATTACACCTGACCTTTAACTTTTACAAACTATGCAAATCGAACTTTTTTTCTTTCCCTACAGAAAGTAAGTCATTACAATACTTGTATTACTTTTGGGGGATTCTTTTCATTGGTTTACTAAGACACGTTTAAACTGTTTACATGCAGTGATGAAATAATTTTGCTTTTCCCTCCTCATAAACTGAAGTCACCAAGAGGGAAAAGACAAATGCCTCTTTTCTGTCCACCTAACGTGCACAGATCGACCTGGCAGCAGTTCTGGTTTCTTCCTGTTAAAAGGGAGTTTCTCTTTCCCACTTTTGGCAAAGCTCTTGCTCAGAGGGGGTTATATGATTGTTGGGGGTTTCTCTGTATTATTGTAGGCTCTTTCACTTGCAATATTGTTTTTGTGATTTGGCACTATATGAATAAATATGGAATTAAAATGAACTGTGAGTCAATACACTTCCTAAAATGAAACAAAGCTCGATAAGTCGCTGTCTTTTTTCTTTATGCTAGAAGAGCTAGAAAGCAGCAAATGACAACTTTGAAGGAGGCACTTACCAAGTTTACATCAAATTGTGAAGTGTTTTTGCTTGTAATGGGTCACTTGCCACATTTTTTTGACCTCACCTTTTTATAAACATCTTGCAGAAAAGAAACAATTAACACCAACAATCACTAAGTAAAAGCAATACAGAGATGTGTAAATGAACCAAATGAAAACGCAGTCAAAACAAGGAATTATGTTTTGTCATAAGGGCTGAGTGGACGTGAATGAGGGCTATGTGGACACAACTGTGTTTACACCTGAGCTTTGTAGAGACGAAGCGTTGCAGGAGCATAACAGTAAAAATAAACATCTAACATCTTCACTTCTGCGTCCTCAGAACCAAAGTCCCATCGAACCAACCCCACTCAGAAATCTTCCAGAACCATCCTGAAGGTGGCACTCCCCCCAGTTACTAAATCAGTCCCTGTATCGCCGCCTGCCTCTGCTCCAAAGATAGCCCTGATGCCCCCAATCAAACCAGCACTTAAATCTCCCCCTCTGCCTCTGCCAAAACCCGCCCAGAAACCCGGGCTTCCTCCCCCTCCTCCTCTACCCCCTCCCAAACCGCAAGGCCTGACAGCCGGCCAGCAGCAGCACACCAATGGCACTCACGGACCCGCCTCACCGCTGAGGGCTCCGGGTAATGGTGACAACGCAGCAGAGAATGGAGAGGTAGGATCGGGCAGCAATCTGGAGGTGGGGTCGATGGTTGAAGTGAATGATCCGCCGCTGTTTGGAGTTATCTGTGGATTGGATGGATAAACGGGATTTCAGAGCCAGTGGCAGGAATCGAACTGGTAAGGACAGTTTGTGCCTCAGTTTTTATGACTTTAATGAGATTGTACACTCATACAGAGTTTTCTACTTCAGTTTTTTACTTCCCAGACGGATTGAAAGCAGGTGCTACTTATAACTGAATCATTGTTTTCTTATGCCGGTAAAGTCGTGTTAGCATTATTATTTAAACAAAAATGGGTTATTTCCATCACCACATTTGTCACCACATATCCTTTTTCATTATTACACAAACTTCCTGTTAACTTTTATGAGGGCAACGGAAAAGGAAGCCGCAGTTTGTTTACACTTAAGAAGATCATTCGCTCTTTGTTAAAGGATACCTTTCATACCAAGCATTCATGTTTCTGCATGTTCTCTTTTCAAAGAAACTGTTGGCGGTTCTTGTGGATTGATTCCTGATAAAGTCTTGCCTGTTCTTGATCCTGTTCTGTTCTGCTGGCCGCAGGTGGTCTGAGAAGCCTCTGCAGAAGTGCTTTAATGCTGCGTTTTTGGAGGACAGCTCCTATTACATAAATACTCTGTATATATTATTCTTGTCACTTGATCCATGACCTCAGCAAATTTTTACCTGGCGGGTTCATGGGCCCATTCTTTAGTTCACAGTTTGAATTACTACAACATGATGTCCATTTTGTAAATGATCGTCCCATTAAGAGTGAAATAGGTCAAACAAAGCAGGATTTGAGTTGCTGAACTCACGGATTCAAAAGAGGATATACAAATGTGTGACATCACAATACCTACACATGCACAGAAAAGAAGATAGATGAAGGCATCAGGAACTCATCAACTACTTAGCCCCCTGCACTTGAAGTTGCAGTATGCTGCTCACTGTCTGTGGTATCTGGTGGTCATGTGACTATGAATCACTCCAAGTATAGATTAGCTTAAGGTTATAGAGATAGATCTGCTATCGTAGGAGTCTGTGGGGACTGACTCATCCTGAGAGACAGCCTCAAGTGGGCATTAGAGGTACTGCAGTTTTTGGCACTTGTGCTGTGGTTTCACCTTTTTGTTACAGAGGTTACAGCTTCAGCTACATTAATTGTTTGTTTGTTTTTTAATCTATAGCAGTTGTAATAGCGCATCAAGCATCAGTACAGAAACTGATTTCCTCCAGTATATTGTTCCAATGGATTCATTTTTACCATCAACAGCTGAATCAAATACTTTGTTACAGCAGCAGAGGAAACTTGGAGTTTGATGTGTGGGCTCTAGACACAAATATGCCGCATATCACACAGGGGGGTGATATGAGCCCCAGAGGGAGGATGTCTTTGATTTGCAAGGCAGGTCAGTACGTAGGGCTCAGGCTGCCTGCCTGAAGCAGGTCACAGGTTTCACTCCATTAGTTTAATGACCTTCTACCATACTGGTTTGCACTAGGCTAATAAATTCCCACCCTCTGTGTGTGTGTTTCAGGAACAGGAGCTGTCTGCTGGAACGGATGGCAGTTACCTCGGGGAGCGTCACTTTCGTTGCCCGGCCAACAAGGGGCTTTTCGTAAAGCTTCGCAACTGTAGACGGGACTCCAGATTCCCCGCCCCCGAGATGCCTGTCAATCAAGTGGAGCGATGCAACTCTATAGGTAAAGTAGGCTGTAATCTGACACAAGGCCACGCCAGCACCCCGCCGTCAATGCTCTCTGTCTCATTTTTGCATACGTGCTGATGATCGCTGTTAAAGCAGCATTTATGACGCTCTGATATCTAATACCATCTTCTGTGTCTGTGGCTGCCAGCCTTTGCAGAGTGGGGCAGTGAGCGCGTGGAGGAGCACACTCCTCCCGTGGAGGGGGATGAGGCCCGGGAGCTCTACCAGGGCTGGAAGAAAGGCATCCAGGGTCACCTCAACTCCTGCTACCTGGATGCCACGCTGTTCAGGTAACATCTGAGACATTAGTTACTCTCCTACATCTCATAGAAAGAAGACTGTTGGTGTAAATATGTTGTTTTGACAAAAGCTGGTTTTTCAGATTTATACCAGATCTTTCAGATAGTTCACAAAAAGGCTGATAATGAATGTTTTTTTGTCACTGTGATCTACAGCAGACATGCTGTGCCTCTGCTGTGTATACTGTTACAATACTGTACATACAATACATATTAAATGTGACCATTAGAAGTGAAGCATGTGACATGCTTATTTCTGCTGCTGGATGAGGAAGAGAGTAGATATGACTAAGACCGTCATCTCACAACTCCGCCCACTTGGAAACCAGTGACTTAGAGGAAGGTCAGCAGTCTAAAACTGCTACCTTCAGTTGAACATATCGAAAGCAAAGACATGAAAGTGCACTCGCATATGATGTCACATGTCTGACTGTGGAATATGTTCAGTGTTATAAATATCTTGGAGCAGTTATTGTGAAGCTGTGTGCAAGAATGTTTGAGAAGGCTTCTTTGCTTCCACGTTGATAAAAACAATGATGATTTTATTTTATTGCGCTTTTACTGAATCGTTCTTATCTTTTTCTTCTTGGTGTCCTGGTTTGGATATTTACATGTAAAGAACAGAATATCGCTCAGTCAAATGGTGAAGTGGTCTAACAGGCTGATCGGTGAAGCACAGCTGAACCCAAGCATCCCTGCACACCAGACAGTTACAGCGGTTCACTGGTTCGGTTTTTTTGCACAGAGTTTCAGTTTCCTCCTTCTGGACAAAGATATCTGGTTTAAAAAAAAAAGCTTTGTTTATGCAGCCGTCACGCAGATAAACAAATTATAGCTTTGCCAGTTTTGTGGGCTACATGATGCCCCAAATGAATTATTAATATTCTCGCTTTTAATATTTTTTGCATGATGTATATTTGTTGCATTGAGAGTGTGCACGTGAGGATAGATGAATCACCACTGCTGAACAAATCTACCTACAGGTAGAAATGAAGGAGCCTGGCATGAAATGAGGGGCTGCACCAAGATTCCACCCAGCTGCTTGTTTTATACCCCACCTGTGTGCTTTTGTCTCCACAGTCTGTTTTCCTGCTGCAGTTCAGCTGACTGTGTGTTATTCTGGCCCACCGACCCTGAAACTGACCAGAGCTCCAGTCAGGCTCAGGACCTTCTACGCTGCGACATTGTCAACCCACTGCGGAGGTCTGTGCTGTTGTCACTGCTCATTGTTTGGTTAAAATGAACCGGGAGGTCTGATGGAAGGGACTGTTGTGCCCATTTCCTGTCTCTTTACTATCAGTTTCTGTTGTCACCATCTCTACAACAAAAACTGAAGTTTCTCTAGTGACCACTTGAGACTGGCTTTAAAACACGAGTCAGTGGCCATGGTTATCTGATAACAGTACTAACACTACTGCTACTTATCCAGAATAGTGACCTTTGGATTAAACTTCACATGCTTGTGATACCAGTGTTCTGTTTGTGGTCGTTAAACACAAATGTCATTCTAATAGGAAGCCCAAAAGGTTGCAGTCATTAAACACCACATGTTCACGTGTCGCTAGAATGGGCTGAAGCGCTCATAACTTTAGTTTGTGCTCACATTCTTGTTATATATCTGTGAGACGTGTCTGAGGCGTTCCTGTGCTGCTGTGTTTTTAAAGGTACGGCTATGTGTGTGCCAGTAAGACAATGGCGTTGAGGCGACTGCTGGAAGCTGCGAACAGTGATATGGGCTTCACCAACCAGGAGAAAGGTATGCAAGTGTTCTCCTCCACCAGGGACTGTGCTGCAAACATAGTTGAAGACTTTGAGGAATGCTGTCATACCTCTCTTGTTCTTTCTGTCAGATCCTGAAGAATTTCTCAACAAGCTTTTCCAGCTTCTCCGAGTCGAGCCGCTTCTCAAGATCAGGTAATGTTGCCGACACTTCCTGTTTTTTCTTTTCTTTTTGTCTGCATGGACAGTGTAAAGTAGGACAGTTTCTCACTGGACTGTTGTTCCTGCACACAGTCATTATCACACACACAGGTTAGCTGTTGCATCGACGTGGTTGGAAGTTGAATTTGGATGACATTTTTCCAACACGGTCGCTCTTCTACATTTCATGCATTCCTCTGTGAGAACACAACCTGCCGCCAGTTCACTTTTGTTCAAAGGTGATGGAAATATTTGCCTGGTTGTTGTTTGTTGTTGTTGTTGAAGTTCACACTGTTTAAATCTAACTAAAGGAAAAGGGACTTCCAGCCTGGAGGTCAAACAGACTGTGGCTCTTCCTAAAACTATTTGACTTGCCTCTTGTGGCTATAGTGTCCCTGTGAAGACTGCGTTCAGTGTTTTGATGCTTGTCCATGTTGTTATTTGCTTAGAGCTCCATGAAGTGTTTCACCTTCCTTTTATGTACTTCAGTGACTCAACGGATCTCAAACTTGACCTCTGACCTTGACTTCAAGGTCACTGTTATTCAAACTTGCCAGTGTTTTTTAATAGATGCACCTGTTTTATGAATTTGAAAGTCCTGTGTTGCACTGATCTTGAGTTACCGTGACCACGCTGCCCGCCCACCTGTCTATCGTTGGCAGGGTAATGACAATACCCCATCAGTCTTTTATAGCTGAAGGGTAAAAATGGCTGCAGGTCCTAAAGAGTTAATGCAATACTGTCATTGAACCCCTTGAATTAAAGCTGAAAATTGGCTCACATCTTGTTTGATTTAAAGTCTACTGTGAAGGCGTGCAGAGACAAAAACTAGAAGGAAAATTGTTATTATCCAAATATTTATGGATAACTATATGCTTACACAGCCAAGCATCAAAGGTGGTCATTGTTGTAATCCCTCCTCTGTCAGTGTTTTAGGATTGTACCAGGTGGCTTCGTTCTGGTGTTAAACAAGGTCTCGAGGGAAACAATAACAAAGCAACACTAAACGAGACATGATCCACAGTGCAGCCAGAGGGCAGCATAATTAGACAGCTAGATCTCACAAGCTTGGCTTGCAGACTGCATTTAAAAACCGTACACACACATGCTGGTATTTCATTGATAAAACCTGAAGCATAGACATGTTGGATGGTCTGTACCACACAGAAAACCACATGCTTCAGGAGGTAATATTTGTTTATAAATTCCACAACAATGTATCAAACGTTAAAGGTTTAGCAGTTAAAGGTTTAGCAGTTAAAGGTCCAATTCAGTAGCTCGAGTTAGAGGAGCTGAGGCCTGATCATCACCTAAATCTTGAGCTCATTCTACATATTTAATTTCCTGCCTTCTTCCTCTCCTCAGATCGATGTCTCAGCAGCCACAGGAGTGTCACCTCTATCAGCTCTTCCCTCCTGCCCTTCCCCCCTCTCCCTCCTCGCCCGAGTCTCTCCCCCCAGTCAACTCCCCGATCCCCCTCTCCTCAGCGTCATCCATGAGGGTCGCCAGCGTCCAGACCCTGCTGGAGTCCTCCTTCCTCCACTCCGGCCTCAAGTTTGTTGAGGTGGTAGAAATAAGCCAGAGATTTCACATCAATATGAGTAAAAAGGAGTTGCTATATTTTCTTATGTGTGGCTTGATGTGCCCACCAGGCTCCCTCTTGCCTCTTGCTGCTCATGCCGAGGTTCGGGAAAGACTTCAAAATGTTTGACGCCATCTTGCCGACCCTCAGCCTGGACATCACAGACCTGCTGGATGACAGTAAGGACGATCACAGGGAGCGATTTATTCCTGCTCATTGAAGATTTGAAGTAGCTTAAGTTTTATGTTCTCCTTTCTCTTGCAGCTCTGAGGCAGTGTACTATCTGTCAGGCTGTAGCCGAGTGGGAGTGTCTGCAGTGTTACGATGATGTAGACATCACTCCTGGACATCTGAAACAGTACTGCAAGACCTGCAACGTTCAGGTAGCCCTTCACTGCTTCAGGTTTATAGAGACATGCACCAAAGAGCCTCTGCTTTAAAGATGGAATCGTCTGCAGCAGTCCAGCTTAATTCAGCCCAGTGTTGTGGTTTTCTGGATCGCTGATACTCTGTAGACTCGCTCGGTACTCTGTACATGATACCAGATCAGATTAAGATTGTACCCTGTGCTGAAAGTTGGCTGCCAAATAAGCACTCTTATTTTGTAAGTATCTTACTCTGCACTAAATATCAGATATGTTTAGAACTGTAACTGCTGGATGCTGCTGCTTGCTCCTAACATAATCTCAGCACTCCACTCTGCCATCCAAGTATGGGCACTTGTGATTCAGTGGTTGGCTTCATGGTAGCTGCTGCCTTCTTTTATATACAGTCTGTGTTTTTTACTCATTGACTTTGATCACCAGGTCCACAGTCACAGGAAACGAGCATCCCACAGCCCGGTGAAGATTGGCGTCCCCGGGGAACAGTGGACAGGCCCCCTGCACTGCACGCGACAGCGAATGTCTCTCTTCGCTGTGACGTGCATCGAGACCAGCCATTACGTGAGCTTCGTCAAGAACGGGCCCCTCGACACCGACTGGCTGTTTTTCGACAGCATGGCGGATCGGGAAGGTGAAACTCAAACACGATAACCGAATCTTACATTCAGCCAGCGAGGAGCACGCGCTCACGTTTCTCCATGTGCTCTCACACAGGTGGAGAGAACGGCTTCAACATCCCCCAAGTGAAGGCTTGTCCCGAGGTGGGCCGCTACCTGAGCTTGTCAGAGGAGGAGCTGAGCAGAGTGGACCCCAGCTCCTTGAGGGAGGCTGCGCGTCGCCTGCTCTGCGACTCGTACATGTGCCTGTACCACAGCCCCGAGCTCAGCCTGTACAAGTGACACGGACACTCAGCACAGACGTGCAGACTGAAGTGGACGTGTTGTCCTCAGGTTCTTCCCTTCGCACAGCTGTCCGAATAAAACGTTGCACTTCAGAATATGAGGTGTAACATGAAATCTGCCTTATTCTCACCATGACCAGCGTTTTTCTTTTTATTACTCCCTCCTGTGAAGTGGGATTAGAGACTGAAGTTCCCAGTGAGACGGGAATGTTGAGGTGCAGCTTCTTTTCTTTGTGAGCAATGTTAGACACACACACTGGCCTTCATGTACAGACCCAGGAGGTTTTTTGCAACAGAAACTTTGCTCATCACCAGGAACACTCTCCAGTCTTGGTTGCCCGCAGCTTCACACACTCAGAGATGTAAAAATAGCAGATGTAGCAGCAAGAGTCCAAAGGTTTTTAAGAAGATGGTATAAAACAGCAAAGGTTAAGCTGGTTGACGTTTGTTTTACATCTGTAGGTCTGTTATTGGGGCTAATATTTTGGGTCATCCATGTTTAAAACTGCTTAAATGCCAAACTGCTGCAGATTTATGGCACGGCCTTAATGTTCACATCTTCTGTATATCAGGAGTTGCAGTTTGTCTACAAACAAGATGCACTTTAAACTCTTTCGTGAAGTGTTGCCCAGTAAAGGACGACGAGTGGTGAGGGTCTGAGAATAAACCACCGTCCATCCAGAAAACAGTCAGCCATACTTCCACACTTCTACTGTGCCTGTTGAACAAAGAGCCTTATGTTTAGGTAAAGAGCTGTGTACACTTGCCAACCTGCTGGTGAGCTTACCTGTGCCTTAATGATGCTCTCACACTGTATGAAACCACTGTGCCTGTAACATGTAACACTTGTACTCTGCACAGTTCAGTTTGCACTGCTTTATTTACACGTCAGTTCATCTGTATATAATAGCATTCCCTGTAACTGACAGCACAGATTGCACATCGATGTTTAAACTGTTAGATTGCTTACAGGTTCTTTAATGCAATCCAGCTACACGCAATGAGATTAAAGATTTGACATTGTTCCTATGTCTTAGTGTTTTTGCCTTTTTTTTTTTTTCTTTTTTTTTTTAAATTGTTCAAATTTTCAAGAAATCTAAAACATGTGGGACATGTCCATGGATCTTTTTGCTGTGAAGCAAAAAATCCACACCGCTGTGCTTCCCAACTCTTAAACGGCTGAGTGAGAAATAATCATAATTTTCTCAAATCTGCTCCTTAAAAACATGGGTTCTGTATATTTTCTATACTTTCTTCCAGTGAAGCTTTCCCTAAATAAACTATAATATATAATATTTAAACGGGAAACAACAAGAAACATTATCAATATATCAAAATAAAACAAAAAAATCACTGACCCAACACACTGTTCTGTGGATTTTCTCTATCGACCACAAACAGAACACTGGTATCTCAAGCATGTGAAGTCTACATTATATACTATATTGTCTACACCGCCTGGGGAAAAAAAAAACTGCCGTTCAATTTTCCTCAACTTAAATAGTCTTACCACAATTAACCATCCATGTTATTTAAATGAATATTCACTTTAAATCTTCTCCGTACATGGTAATTTTTTTAACCCGCAAATTATTTTCTATAACTTAAAAAAATAAAATTAATTATTATATTTTCCCCTTGAGTATAAATATTTTTATTTTATTTTATTTTATTTTACCGGACGTATGACGTAATATCCGTATCAGCAAACTGCGTCATCATTTAGAGCCCCGGAAACAGCGAGAGAGCGACGAGGGCGTTATCTAAACCTGAGCGTACGTCGGAAGCTAACTTTGACTCTTTCCGTTAAAAAGACACCGATTAAAGAAGCTCCTGAGAGTGTTGGATGTTTCTGTAAGGTACAATGTTCTTTTAAAATAACGCTCCGCTGCCTCATTCACCTATAACGTGCTGCTTAGTGACAGCGTTGTGAGGCGCTGGTGACCTACTGCTTAGCTTCTGGTCGGCTCGCTTGTATTTATAGCTGGCACCGCCTGGGTGCCAGTGTGTACACACTTGAACCGTTAATGTTAGCTCTCCGGGAAACTGTGTTTAGTGTTTTAGGTCTATAACAACAGAGGTAGCCGCTGTTAGCAGGTGCAGAGACATCGAAGCTGTTCCGACATTTTATCAGCAGAAAAAACAGAGAACTGGCTTTTATCCCAGGATCGATCTGTTACAGAAAGAACAGGATGGAGACAAACTGGGAACTCTGATAGTAATAATTTCTGTTGTTTAGGGGCCATTCCCCTGTTAGAGCATGTAGAGATCAGAGTGTGCTCACACACTGTTAGTTGCAGAGTAAGGTCTTCTCTGTTTCCCTTATTTGACAGCATTAAAACACACACAAGGTGACAGGTCACTGGTCACTTTATTAGGTGCACCTACATTAGACAAGTAGGAATGTCAAGACGTCCTGCTGAAGTTCAAACTTGAGCATCAGATAAGAAAGTAAGTTGATTTAAGTGGCTTTAAACGTGGCATGCTTGCTGCTGCAAGACATGCTAGTCTGAGTATTTCAGAAAATGCTGATCTGCTGGCACACAACCATCTCTAGAGTTTGCATGGAAAATATGTAGCGAGCCAAGTTCTTTGAGTGAAAATGCCTTGCTGCCCTTCAAATCTAGACAAAACAAAATGTTGCCAGGTCTGATAAGCCTCCATTTCTGCTGCGACGTTCAGATGGTAGGGTCAGCGTTACCAGTAAACAGCATGAAAGCATGGATCCATTCTGCCTTTGTCTGCAGTTCAGGTGCTGGTGGTGTAGTGGTGTCCATAACATCTTCTTGGTACCAACTGAGCATCTTTTAATCTATTCTGTGAAGATTTAAAACGGGTCTGAAGTGACAGCGACTGTATAGCTGCTGCTTCTGCAGTAGTAAAGGTGGCTGTGTGTGGTTAAGGCACTGTTGCCCGTGTTGATGGATTTGTGGGTTCTTTTTTCCTGATTAAATGTAACATTACTTTGTAATAAGTGGTTAAAATGTTTTCCTTTTGGGGAAGATAAAAAGGATGAAACCCGTTCGATGTCTGAAATCAATGACTTCCATTTATCGACTGGTGTTTTATTCTCATATTTTGTCTTTGGCTTTAGAGAAAGCTGCACAAGCCTTTTACATCTGCAGTTATTTATGCATCCTATCTGTGCAGGTGCTTTCTGTCTCCGAGGTCCAGCAGTGTAGTTGGTTGCCATGGCGTCTCCAGGAGGACAAGGAGGAGGAGCTTTGTCAACAAGAGGAGGAAGCGGTGCCAGGAGGATGAAATGGGCTCTGGAGCTGAGCCTGGGCAACACCAGGTAAATGGAAACTGACACGTACCCTGAACATTTGTCCACACCACCAGGAGGAGCTGTGAAAAGCTCTGGCGTAGAGGTGAGAGTAGTGCAGGTAACAGGTCTGTCCAGGTGATCGAATTTACATGTAAGATATGATTCTGGCTTTGATGAATTATTAAACAACAAGTCTGTTATCCTGTAATGGTTTCACTTTTGAGCACGTCCCTTTCATTATTTCTGCCTCCCTCCATTACCAGACTGCTGTGTTCCAGGTTATTGGTTATTGGTAACTTTATTGTCCCTAACGGGAAATTGATTTGCAGTATGTCCGTACAAACAAACAAACAGACAACCAGCAGATCACATACACACTCTATATAAATAATATAATATAATATAAGCCTGAGAAAACAACCTAGATTTTTCATCAAAAAAGTGCAATGTGCAATGTGCAATGGCAACAACACTCATGGTTTAGTGTTAATAACTATGATAATAGCAGTAGGTACAAAAGACAATCTATGTCTCTTTGTTTTCACTGCAGGCACTTTATAACGACGACCTGATG